GGACCATTTTCATCTCCAGAATTAAGGATTATTTTAATGTTACATCATTGCCTTTTCTCTTTTACTTTCCTTTTTAGTTATATCTTAGGATTTCCTATTTTTAATGTTCATACAGAGATTTCCTTAACTGAAATACCGAATAGTTTCTCTGGTGTGGAAAACTATAATAGTACACAGGATCCTAATGAGATAATTAATAACGTGAAATAGGAAGTAAAGGGCTAAAGGTGTAGGGAAAGTGGGAAGGGTGGGGGAAATGTAATAAGGGAGAGGAAAAAAATATGAGAAACTGAAAAAATCGAAATAAAGTGTTTGTAAATGGGGAGGGGACAAGGGGGTGAAGAGAGGGCAGGGACAAGGGGAAAAAATGAGAATCAAGACCTATTATGTAAAGGTACAGGATTCCAATCATGAATGTAACTCTATTGTATACCTAGATTGTACCAATAAACTTAATTTAAAAAAAAATCCATGCATGGACTCAAAAGAATCAAGCTGTTCGGCAACTTGGTTTCTTGTAGTCCAGTTGGTCTCAGCAGGGGGAGCAGCACCCCCTAGAGGGCATTATGAAAATACCTGGCAATGCTGCTGGTATTCAGTGACATGGTAGAAGGCCATTGTAAAGGGAGACGCACAAAATGGAGAACTGAGAACTGTACTGCGCTCTGCACTTCTTTAAAATGCTCCACCCAGCCTTCACGTAGGTGAAACGTGATTATCTATCCTTAGAGTCTAACTCCACTGTAAACATAAAGTATTTTACATAGCTTTATATGCATTGGTATTTTTTCACCAGAAAGACAAATGTCATGTGAATTGAGTGAAAATGGAATCATATTGGTCTTGAAACTTCACCAGAATTGATTGACATTTCAGGAAATCATAGCATCACTTGGATTGATGTGGTATTTGAGCTGTCAGTGTACAATATCCCTATCTGCCCACTGTCATGTTTACAGTGATCATATACACAGGTACAAACATCTAACAATGACTGGAATACATACATAGTATGTTACTATTTTACCAAATGTTATTTTAATTTCTCCTTTATAGTGTAGTTAGTGTGTAAAATGGATGTTTACTGCGTATGTGTATAAACAGGCTTCACTATCTATGAACTATTAGTATCATTCCTGAATAGTAATATAAAAGGAGAGTTATAAAATATTTACTAAAAGGGACATCAAGCGGATACAATTGAGAACTGGTGATTCATTTTATTACAGGGAAACTGCAGTCTAGAGGGGAAAATAAGCCTGCTGATGGTCATTATATGAGTTTTATGAAGTCAACCCCAAATTTTCTATTCTCTCTCTCTCTTTTGTTTGTTTTTTGAGAAAGGGTCTCAATATGTAGTTCAGGCTGGCCTTGAACTCACTGCATAGCCCAGGCCAGCCTCAAACTCACAGTGACCCTCCTGCCTCAGCCTCCTGAGTGCTGGGATTACAGACATGCCTAGCTCAAAATTTTCTATCAATTCAGGTACTGACCTAACTGTCTGGAAATAAGAAATGCAGTTCCCAATGCAAACAGTGCAGTGGGGCTGGAAGCACAGGTCAGTGGTACAGCATTTGCTTAACACACACACACACACACACACACACA